AAGACTACCACAGTGTGTGGACGACTACCACAGTGTGTGGACGACTACCACAGTGTGTGGACGACTACCACAGCGTGTGGACGACTACCACAGCGTGTGGACGTGTGGAGAGTTACACTAACCTCACTCCCCGAGTGGTACATTTACTAAGCCAGTAAGTAGAGCAAGACCGCGCCTGAGTCGCTGGTAAGGCTATACAGCTCTCCGGTCCGCCCGACCACAATAACGCTACCAAACATGAAGTAAAGATAACCTCAGTTATCAGGACAACAAAAAATTTGAGAACGTGCAGTAAATCACGTCATTAGGAGTGACATGGTGAGGAAAACACCACACGGAGGATTTCAAACTGAAACATTTGATGCAACTGTAATAGGTCCTGTAGCCTAGTAGTGTCCTTTCCCTTTCTTTTAATGGGCAATATTTAGGCTCATTTCTTTTCAATTAGCTACCCGAGGCTATTGGGTAGCTAATTGTAGTGTGTCAAAACCTAGTTTGGAAATGATAAGATATTCCCATCGCGGTGGAGGGTTAGCCATACAGGGTGATGTAATCAGTAGCCCGAGCTTGCAAACTTTGAATGTAGTATGAGGATATCCTGTAGAACACCAGAGAAGATAGAGTAATTACAAGGACCTAGACACCTTGTAATATAGCAAGGTCTGGTGGTGTGTAATGACTGGATACTCCATAATGTAGGGTGTGAGAGGTTACGACAGAGTTCTTGGTCACGGAGTTGACACATCGGGGTGCGTAATGTTGGGACATTCGTCCCTTGTAGCCACCTGCTACAGGTAACGGTAGCCACTTGCTACAGGTAACGGTAGCCACCTGCTACAGGTAACGGTAGCCACCTGCTACAGGTAACGGTAGCCACCTGCCACAGGTAACGGTAGCCACTTGCTACAGGTAACGGTAGCCACCTGCTACAGGTAACGGTAGTCACCTGCCACAGATAACGGTAGCCACCTGCCACAGGTAACGGTAGCCACCTGCCACAGATAACGGTAGCCACACGCCACAGATAACGGTAGCCACCTGCCACAGATAACGGTAGCCACCTGCCACAGGTAACGGTAAGTAACAGTACAATAAAAGTCGTCATGCCCGGAAGTCTTCATAGCGCCGTGTGTGTGTCACAGAATATTCACAGATAATTGTAGGCTAATCTGATATTGACGATTACCATATCACTGCCTGGGAGGACATTTTGGGCTTCCCCAAAAATAAACTCCTACTATCATGGGATAATACTGTACCACCAGTAGGGGGTAATTACCACCATCTGGGGTGGGGGGGTAATGATTTAAAGCTCGTTGGGTAATATTAAATGGGTTTAAGCTCTGTTTCTCAGAGTGAATCACCGGTGTTCCTGGGCTCTTATCAACTGCCTTATCGCAGGTGATAGTGCGCTCACTCTGATCCATGCACTCAACGGGGCTTAACTCAGGGCCAAGTTATATAACTGAAAGACTTGTATTACACCCGTTTTAACTGATGTTGATTAGGCACCTCCTGGTGCCTGGAGTGACGTCACATGACAGTGTAGGGTGTCAACGCTTCGCCCTGTGCCCTCACACACCACTCCCTCACCTCACACACCACTCCCTCACCTCACACACCACTCCCTCACCTCACACACCACTCCCTTACCTCACACACCACTCCCTCACCTCACACACTACTCCCTCACCTCACGCACCACTCCCTCACCTCACACACCACTCCCTCACCTCACACACCACTCCCTCACCTCACGCACCACCCCCTCACCTCACGCACCACTCCCTCACCTCACACACCACTCCCTCACCTCACACACCACCCCCTCACCTCACACACCACTCCCTCACCTCACACACCACTCCCTCACCTCACACACCACCCCCTCACCTCACGCACCACTCCCTCACCTCACACACCACTCCCTCACCTCACACACCACTCCCTCACCTCACACACCACTCCCTCACCTCACACACCACCCCCTCACCTCACGCACCACTCCCTCACCTCACACACCACTCCCTCACCTCACACACCATTCCCTCACCTCACACACCACTCCCTCACCTCACACACCACTCCCTCACCTCACACACCACTCCCTCACCTCACGCACCACTCCCTCACCTCACACACCACTCCCTCACCTCACACACCACTCCCTCACCTCACACACCACTCCCTCACCTCACACACCACTCCCTCACCTCACACACCACCCCCTCACCTCACACACCACTCCCTCACCTCACACACCACTCCCTCATCTCACACACCACCCCCTCACCTCACGCACCACCCCCTCACCTCACACACCACTCCCTCACCTCACACACCACTCCCTCACCTCACACACCACTCCCTCACCTCACACACCACCCCCTCACCTCACGCACCACCCCCTCACCTCACACACCACCCCCTCACCTCACACACCACTCCCTCACCTCACACACCACCACCTCACCTCACACACCACTCCCTCCCTCACACACCACCCCCTCACCTCACACACCACTCCCTCACCTCACACACCACTCCCTCACCTCACACACCACTCCCTCACCTCACACACCACCCCCTCACCTCACGCACCACCCCCTCACCTCACACACCACCCCCTCACCTCACACACCACTCCCTCACCTCACACACCATTCCCTCACCTCACACACCACTCCCTCACCTCACACACACCCCCCCTCACCTCACGCACCACCCCCTCACCTCACACACCACTCCCTCACCTCACACACCACTCCCTCACCTCACACACCACCCCATCACCTCACACACCACTCCCTCACCTCACACACCACCCCCTCACCTCACACACCACTCCCTCACCTCACACATCACTCCCTCACCTCACACACCACCCCCTATACCACAACCCGTTCTCGCACTTTCTTTAAGTCAATATTGACTTATTAAATACGTGCATATTTGACATACTAATTTATTGTGAATATTTTAGTTTACCTTGAAAAGCTTCATAGAAAACACCTATACCTATAATAGGTTAAGTAATAATTGTAATTACGAAGCAATAAGATGCTTATCTTAACATACTAAGAAGGTTAGGTAAGGTCGGTGTTTTCTATGAAGCTTTTCAAGGTAAACTAAAAAATTCACAATAAATTAGTATGTCACATATGCACGTATTTAATAAGTCAATATTGACTTAAAGAAAGTGCGAGAACGGGTTGTATACCAAACCCAGGGCCTAAAAAAACACCAAGGTCATTTAACATCAAGTCCTGAAAACCGCAAGGAATATGTGCACCGTGAGGCGAATCCCCCTTCCAGGTGTATATGCACTGAGAGTTTACTTCAGTCCTGAACAATGTTAAGGAATTAGATATTTGCTGGTTGCACAGTAAGCTATTACGTTGGCCTTAAAACATCCTTCACAGGTTGATGGGCAGGAAGTCCAACACAAAAGCAGTCCTGTACACTTTAAAGAATGTGGCCAAAAAAAAAAAAAGAGTTCGTGATGCGGGCGATGAGTCTTCGAAGACTTCGTGTTGCAGGCAATGAGTCTTCGAAGACTTCGTGTTCCAGGCGATGAGTCTTCGAAGACTTCGTGTTGCAGGCGATGAGTCTTCGAAGACTTCGTGTTCCAGGAGATGAGTCTTCGAAGACTTCGTGTTCCAGGCGATGAGTCTTCGAAGACTTCGTGTTCCAGGTGATGAGTCTTCGGAGACTTCGTGTTGCAGGCGATGAGTCTTCGGAGACTTCGTGTTGCAGGCAATGAGTCTTCGAAGACTTCGTGTTCCAGGCGATGAGTCTTCAAAGACTTCGTGTTCCAGGCGATGAGTCTTCGAAGACTTCGTGTTCCAGGCGATGAGTCTTCGGAGACTTCGTGTTGCAGGCGATGAGTCTTCGGAGACTTCGTGTTGCAGGTGATGAGTCTTCGGAGACTTCGTGTTGCAGGCGATGAGTCTTCGGAGACTTCGTGTTGCAGGCGATGAGTCTTCGGAGACTTCGTGTTGCAGGCGATGAGTCTTCGGAGACTTCGTGTTGCAGGCGATGAGTCTTTGGAGACTTCGTGTTCCAGGTGATGAGTCTTCAGAGACTTCGTGTTGCAGGCGATGAGTCTTCGGAGACTTCGTGTTGCAGGCGATGAGTCTTCGAAGACTTCGTGTTCCAGGCGATGAGTCTTCGAAGACTTCGTGTTCCAGGCGATGAGTCTTCGAAGACTTCGTGTTGCTCGTCAGCCAGGCGTACCACAGCCAGGCGTACCACAGCCAGGCGTACCACAGCCAGGCGTACCACAGCCCTCACCTCTGAGCCAATACCCTCAGTGTTGACCAGGTGTAAAGCTCCACACGCTGGGGCTCAACTACTAACCTGATAACGGTAATTATTAATTCGTTTTGTCAGGGACAGGAAGCCTGTGTAATATATATATGTTTTAGGCTTGCATCAAGGCCCCCCGAGGTGACCTTGATATAATATACAAATTGTATCAAGGTTGCGTACAGGTTTCTGCTGACCCTGACAGCTGGGCGGACAGCGCTTCGGATTCGTAGTCCTGAGGTTCCGGGTTCGATCCCCGGTGGAGGCAGAGACAAATGGGCAAAATGTTTCTTTCACCCTGTTACCTAACAGTAAATAGGTACCTGGGAGTTAGACAGCTGCTACGGGCTGCTTCCTAAGGGAGGGGGGGGGGTGTAACAAAAGAGGCCTGGTCGAGGACCGGGCCGCGGGGACACTAAGTCCCGAAATCATCTCAAGATAACCCTTCCTAGGATGCAACCGCACAGCAGTTGCCTAACTCCCGGGTACCTTTTAATTGCTAGGTGAACAACGACATCAGGTGAAATGAAACGTGCCCAACCATTTGTCTCCCGCCCGGGGATCGAACCCGGAATCCCCCGGCTGTGATTCGAGAATGTAGCCAAGTGTACTCGGGGTAGTACAGCAGGTGGCTGGCTACACGTGTTACATCGTACAGGGCGCATTACGAAACACAGATAGACGTACTGATAAAGAGAAATGTCCGGGCGCAGTGGCGGGCAGCATTCAGTAGAGGCTAGGCTTCAGGATAACCTGTCCGCACTACCTCCTAGCCCTGGGCGCCTGGGGCCACCACCTCCCTGTTATTACATCTACCGACGCTGGACAGTGAGTTCTTGAACACTGTGGACGATCAAATATGTCTATATAGCTCAAGTGTTGTGTGTAACTGTGACGAGAGGCTTACAACGGTGCTTTAATAGCGCTACGATACCCGCATGCGTCCAGGTACCCGCCGCATGCGTAGAGGTATGTGGGCGACATGCCACATACTCCCGCTCTCTCACACCGACTCACCGGTTCAGCACCATGATGATATAGACTTTCAGGGACCTTTCCATGGGGTGAGGGAAGGTTGTCGTGTTAAGAGTGGGCCGCGACAAGTAACTTTATTTTGTTGTAAAGTTTGACGTTATGATCTTACACGACGGTCGGTCTTGATTAGTGCTACCCGGTGGTCGTTACTGGCCAGTGCTACCTGGTGGTCGTTACTGGCTAGTGTTACCTGGTGGTCGTTACTGGCTAGTGTTACCTGGTGGTCGTTACTGGCTAGTGTTACCTGGTGGTCGTTAGTGACCAGTGCTACCTGGTGGTCGTTACTGGCCAGTGCTACCCGGTGGTCGTTACTGGCCAGTGCTACCTGGTGGTCGTTACTGGCTAGTGTTACCTGGTGGTCGTTAGTGACCAGTGCTACCTGGTGGTCGTTACTGGCCAGTGCTACCTGGTGGTCGTTACTGGCTAGTGTTACCTGGTGGTCGTTACTGGCTAGTGTTACCTGGTGGTCGTTAGTGACCAGTGCTACCTGGTGGTCGTTACTGGCCAGTGCTACCTGGTGGTCGTCAGTGACCAGTGCTACCTGGTGGTCGTTACTGGCTAGTGTTACCTGGTGGTCGTTACTGGCCAGTGTTACCTGGTGGTCGTTACTGGCTAGTGTTACCTGGTGGTCGTTACTGGCCAGTGTTACCTGGTGGTCGTTACTGGCCAGTGTTACCTGGTGGTCGTTACTGGCCAGTGTTACCTGGTGGTCGTTAGTGACCAGTGCTACCTGGTGGTCGTTACTGGCCAGTGTTACCTGGTGGTCGTTACTGGCCAGTGTTACCTGGTGGTCGTTACTGGCCAGTGCTACCTGGTAGTCGTTACTGGCCAGTGTTACCTGGTGGTCGTTACTGGCTAGTGTTACCTGGTGGTCGTTACTGGCCAGTGTTACCTGGTGGTCGTTAGTGACCAGTGCTACCTGGTAGTCGTTACTGGCCAGTGTTACCTGGTGGTCGTTACTGGCCAGTGTTACCTGGTGGTCGTTACTGGCCAACAGTACCCAGCGGTCGAATGCATTTGCCAAATCAAAGAAAATGGGGGACTAATTATTCAAATAATACTGATATACTGTTTCGTTTACTACTATTTCATCTCCTTCAACTACTGCTACTGCCACTACTATTACTACGGAAACAGTAATCTAGTAAATCTAGTAGCTAGTAAAGCTACTAGCAGGGAGATGAGAGTGGGTGGCGACATTGGGAGCCTAAGCCCCAAGTCGCTACATTTAGTACAACCTAAACACCAGCCTGTGAAGGCGTGAATAAGACCTCCCCGGTCTTTGGGTTCAGGCTTATCAACCGTGGAAGGATCGCTATAAGACCTTACAAGCAGTAGGTATACTGAACATGGTCTACATCTACTGTAAACTGGGTGTACACTTCTCTGTGTACATAGCCGTGATGTGATTCCATGTGTCCGCCCAGCCACTGTCCTAGCTAGCTAAGCCGCCCCACGCCACCCATCTTTCTGTGTGGTGGGGGTGTAGTGGGTGATGTGTGGTGTGGGGTGATGTGTGGTGTGGGGTGTAGTGGGTGTAACTTCTTGTAATGGTGGAGCGAGCTGGGGGGTTTGAATGGGTTTAGCGGTGTGTGGAACACAAGAGTTATTTGTATCACTTTCAGAGTTAGATACAACCCCTACACACTGGGATAAACCACTAGAACACCACTCTCTATAAAACACGCGCCAAATACCACACTATGTAGCCATAAACCCCACTTTACCCCACTGACGACAGGACGCTATACAAACCTCGCCCGCCACCCAGTGTGCACTAGCGTCTCTTCGTAACCACCGACACCTGTTCGTACCTCAACGGTTCCAACAATATTTTGCAGCAATACTTTCTAATTATTCTATTACTATTCATTACACGAATAATCTGCTATTTTCCTATAGTGTTGCAACCATTTACGTAATTTTTTTAACAAATTTCCAATTAATGTTAATTATCTAAATATTATTATTGTTTTGTAATAATTATTTTTTACCTGAGGGCCACTATCTCTCTAGTGGCTTCGACGAGGACAGGAAGCCGGTGGGTTGTCAAAGGTACCACCCCCATTTGTCCTGATGATTTTATCTATTTGGATCTTTCGTTAAAAAGAGAAGAAAAGAAATTGGCATTTACGACTACGGCGGGTAGGCGGTTCCGTGGGTTTAGGGTTTATAACCCTGTGGGTGAAAAAGCAGTTCCTGTTTTCTGTTATATCGCCTTCTACTGTGTTATCTCTTATCTCGGCAACCTTGCCTGGTGCTGTACTCTGCACATAAGATATGCGTATTTAATTGCCGTGTGATGAAATCTTAATTAGTAACTGTGAACCACTTAATTGATAGTTGTATTTCGTGCTAGAGAGTAGTGAGGAAGCCATTCATAATACTACATGTAAGTGATAAGTGTGGGAGCAGCTGCGAGAAGCCTAATGGTTACTATACACAGACAAATCACACTATCGTCAAATATCAATGAGAAAATCCACAGGAGATTTTAGAGCGCACATTTGGGAACACCAAGCGCATAGGTTCGAACCCTCATCCCAGCTCCTGTGAATTTTCTCTTCATAATGGTTGCTATCTTTCTCATCATGACCTGGCGAGACTCGCCAGAGGAAAGCCTCATCCAGGGAAGGTCTTCCTGCTGTGTCTGTTGCTCCATCATCCTTGTTATCATGCTAGTTGTTGAGGAAGTCAACTAGAGCTATGCGGTGACTGGAACCCGCGACAGAGACTCCCAGCCGCTGACGCCAGCCACAAACTACCGGTATCAGGTTCCAGTCATCTCGGAACTCCAGTAGACTTTCTCTTTTTTTATTTTCTATTTCATTGATATTACATCACATTAGTGTGATTTCTCTGTGTATGCTAGTTATTCTTACCCATTATGCTGTCAATACCATCCCATGATACTTGTATGTAAGTCCGTGCCACATGGGGATACTATCCCTTGATGTAGGACCATGCGGGGCAACTTTACCATAGGTAAAGTTACGCCTACGACCGTCCGAGGTCACAGGAGACAAAGTGGCCATGATATGAAAACTTATTTAAACTCTCAGTGGCCACAAAACCCTCTATGGAGGGCTAGGTGACGCAGCATGGACGCTTTCTGCATCACCTAGCCACCACCCATTATCCTGACGTAGCCTATTCATGGATTATCTGATGATTTTGTAATTATTTGTGATAACAAAAGGGTCTCTGACTAAAAGTGTTGAGAGACAATAAGAACTATAATGACTGTGAGTAGAAGCAGATTAACTATAGTCTTTTCGAACAATGCATCGTATTTTGACGTGAAATTCCTCAACATAAAATATGATGTACCATAAATCCAACCCATCCTCCTTAAATGACAATACTTTTTATAAATATGTGGTTGATCATAGCAATATGTAGTAAAGGAGCCAGAGTAAACAACTTTTTGCACTATGCTTTTTAAAAGTCTCCCCAAACAATAAAAATAAAATTAAAAGAAATATTCATAGGCCTAGTATAGCACATTTTTTAGCAATCCTATCAAATATAGGATACATAGGACTATATAATATATATATATATATATATATATATATATATATATATATATATATATATATATATAATATTAATTATATTAGACCTTAGATAGCATGTGTTAGGCCTAGGATTGCGAGGAGGGGTAAGGTTAGGTTTTATTTTTATATTGCAGTTAAAAAAAAGTTTCTGGTTTGTCCAAATTCAATAAAACAAAAGTCAACTTTCTGGTGCACCATCTCAACATATTGGTACTTTCCACCACACTGTTACTATAAGTACTTTCATTTTAGGAGGATGGGCTGATTTTTTTTCTGTATTACTTTGTTAGGAAAAAATTGGCTTAGAATTGCTATTTTCTCGTTGTATTAACCCCCCCCCCGCACTCAAAATCATCACAACTCTATTTGTTTATGCAGTTTTACAGTAATATCTTTAACAAACTTTAATCGTTCAAAAATAATCCTATATTTTTGTATACAGTATAATATATATATATATATATATATATATATATATATATATATATATATATATATATATATATATATATATATATATATATATATATATATATATGTACACCGAGAGGCATACAGTTATCTCGATGTATATACAGTATACCGAGAAGGAAGGAAACTATCAGGAGAAAGCACCTACCAATTATGACTATATAGCAATGGGAAGGGGGTCAGGATAAAGATTTGGGATGGGACGGGGGGGGGGGAGGAGTTGTTTACATTAGCCCTGGACTATTTTCAGTGCAAAAATAAACTTGCTGGTTGGTCAGTAGGCAGGTGTTCCGGACCTAACAACCCTGGGGCAGGTGATAGGCCTACACTGACCCGTGGCAGTGGTGTGGCTCTCGCGTGGGTGATAACGATAACCTCGCCAGCAGCCCGATAAGATAACCAGGACCAGAATTTGCGTGTCCAAAAATACCTATGGTTGTGTGACCTTGCGGTAACTTGCCGGGCACATGTTCAAACACATACGTGAACACATACACACCAAACTCACACATACATACATACATACATAAACACACGAAGTGTCGTCTTTGATTAGATTGCTTGTAACTTATGTGAGGTGTTCGTCTCCCAAGTATGTGGCCTGGACGACAGGAGGGGGGGGGGATGGTGGTGCCTGTGGGTGATAGAGGGGGGGGGATGGAGGTGCTTGGGGGTGATAGAGGGGGCTGGGAGTTGAGGTGTCTTGTGGGAAGGGGGGGGGGGGGAAACTAAGGGGGGGAAGGCGGGTGGAGGTGCTACACTTATCTCTGGTGTAAATATTATAGTGTGTTCAGGTGGGTGTGTGAGGGAAAAACCACAGATGGATAGATTCCCACCCTCACGCAATGTGTGAGTGTGTGAACGTGAGTGAGAGAGCGCACGCACCACCCGTTATGGGTATGAGTATGTTCTTGTATTTATTCGAACCATTTTGTATTTCCAGCTTCCACCTGAGTCATCTCGTTCATTCATTGCGTACTTCATTACAAAAAAAGAAACAGCTGAAAATACAACTGCATTAACTTTTACCATTAAAACTTAGTCAATACAGTTCTCTTCTATTTTTGAAGTCGCTAAAGAAATGTTTATTTATAAAGAGCTATACATCTGGTGTAGTGAGAGTGGTGTTGAGTCCTGTGAAGGATGTGGTGTTCAGTTATACGGTAATGCACTATACAGTATAGTATCCATTAACTTACGAAGTTCATCTCCTTCTTACAGGTCCGGGAGTGAGGTGTTTCGCATCGAAATAGAGCCTTTTAGCAGTCGAAGCAAAGTTCTAGTCATTGAAGCCCATCAGGTTACGTGCCTATAAGCTCAGCAAGTTCAGTGCCTCGAAGTCCACTAAGTTCTGCGCCTCGAAGTGGAGCCAGTTCTGCGCTTTGAACCAGCAAGTCCCTCATTTCAAAGACAATGGGCTGGAGAGAGATGTATAACATTATGGTGAATGCATTCAGAACCAAGAAGAAGAAGAAGAGGAAGATAAAGTCCTTGGAAGCCAAAGATGTCATAAGACAACAAGATCAGAACAAAGATAGTCAAGTTACTATGAAACGTGCTATAGATAGGAAAAGTTCCAGAAAAGTTCCTAAAAAAGTTGTTAAAGAAAAGAAAGAGAGTCAAGTTGCTGAAATAGTTGTTGAAGAAAAGAACAGGGAGAGTGTCGCTTCAGATAACGTAACTAGTTATCACGAAGAGAGTCAAGCTCCAGAAAACTTTATAAAGCAACATAAGGAGAGTTCATATCTTGTATCAGGTGAGTGCGTCTTAGGGACTGACACAAGCCCACACAACTCATGTTGTTGTCCCGAGTACGAGGATGAGGTCTTCGAGGATAAAAAAGAACCACGTGAACAGTTTTCCGCGACCACCGAGACATCTGCCGAGGCCTTGTTTGAGGATAATGGCGAGGGGCAAGACTTGCTTCAAGAGTCTGTGGACAAGAATCGACTTCTTTCCCGCGTCGAGCGGAGAAGTCAAAAGAGTGCGTCGATGCCAGACAATATGGACCCATCCCTCTCAAGTGAAACAGTCCGCCCGAGAATCAACACGGAAGTATCTATTTATTTAGATAACGATGAAGTTCCAGACACTCCAGATCACTTTCAGAACGCGAGGAAAGTCCGACATCGAGGTCGTAAGAACAACTCATCACATATTCAGGTGAAATACACCAAGGTGTACGGGGAAGCTGACGGAGCCTACAAGAATGACTCGACTCCCAGGGGCCTCGTGTTCATATGCAACATCTCAAAATTTGAAGATGATATTTATCCTGAACGAAAAGGTTCCGAGAAAGATTACGAGAACCTGATGAACCTCTTCCAGCAGATGGGTTATGGTCACAGCCACCGCCAGAAGACGTACTGTGTCACAGGCTACGTCACAAAACATAAATTCATGCAGAAAATAAAGGCCTTTAGTCAGGAAGAAAAGCACGCAGTCTTGTGTTCCTGTGTTGTCATCATTATGAGCCATGGTTCTGGCCCAAAGAAATTCATCACTTCAGATAATAAGGAGGTGGATCTTATGGAAGTTTACAAGATCTTCGACAACATTAATTGTAGAATACTACTAGGAAAACCAAAGATATTCATTTTGCAGTTTTGTCGGAACACTATACCGGAGTCGTCAAGCACGAGAGACAAGAGACCAATAATCACAGAGACTGAACTCCGGAAAATCATTCACGATGAGGTTCAAAAGGTTTTCCAGACGCAGCAATATACCAGAGAAGAGGACACAATTGTCAGCATCAATCCCAAAAGTCCCGTTTTCCTGAACATCGAGGAAATGAGTAGAAATGCATCAATTTCTTCATTATCCTCTCTCCTAGATCAAAGTTCATTTCAAGTGGCAGAGAGCTCCACACACACACAGGATCCCAGCGATGGCGACTCTTACCAAACAGACACTCGCAACTTGCCAGTCGTCCCGCAAGAGGGCTTCCAAAGATATTCTGATATGTATTCAATATTTTCCACATCGCCAGGGGAACTCTCTCATCGGCACCCTCGTAAGGGCTCACTCCTCATCCAGGCAATATGCCACGTCTTCGCAGAGTTTGCCTACCAGGATGAGATCGACAACCTCGTCAGGAAGGTTTCCACGTACATGACGAAGACGCTACAGAAAGACGATCCTATTACAGTGCCTCGCCAAACATGCGAAAGGACCAATAACGGCCTTGATAAGTACTTCTATTTCAACCCTGAGGAGATACTGTTTTGCAGACACGTTACCATCTAGGGCAGGGAGCGAGCAGCTCCTGGTGGCGTCCACCTCGTCTGCAGCAGCGACGCCCGGTGTAAAACTTGGCGTTCCGTGTTAGACATCTCTTGCACCAAAAGAAGAGCCTTCTTACATGAATACATTTTTAAGACGAGTAATATTGTATAACTGACACGCGTGTCTCTCAAGAGTGTACCACAAATGTCTCAAATGTGTCTCTCACGTATTTATAGAAAATAATGTACTTAAGATCCCAAGAGTTGGGCGAGGGACCTATTAGGTACATGAGGGATCCAAGAGCCATCTGTTTCCTGTCGCAGTGCTTCAGTGTCGGGATGCGAAGGGGTCAAGTTCATGCTGTATGGTGGGCGTTCTTTCTTCTGAGAGCTGGAAGAGGTTTTGAACAGTAATTAGCAAGTATCTTGTAACCTGTAACACAACTTTACCAAATTATGAAATAAATAACTATATATATATATATATATATATATATATATATATATATATATATATATATATATATATATATATATATATATATATATATATATATATATGGTGTGAAGAACCAAGAGGGTGGCCAAAATCCCTGGCCTTTACCTAAGTGCTCACTACGGTACACCTGCCACATGTGCCTCAGTGCACACTACGGTACACCTGCCACATGTACCTCAGTGCTCACTCCGGTACACCTGCCACATGTACCTCAGTGCTCACTCCGGTACACCTGCCACATGTACCTCAGTGCTCACTCCGGTACACCTGCCACATGTACCTCAGTGCTCACTCCGGTACACCTGCCACATGTACCTCAGTGCTCACTCCGGTACACCTGCCACATGTACCTCAGTGCTCACTCCGGTACACCTGCCACATGTACCTCAGTGCTCACTCCGGTACACCTGCCACATGTACCTCAGTGCTCACTACGGTTCACCTGATCTCAGTTGTGTTAGTATTCAATATATTTTTCTGAGGATTTTCTTGTTATGAGTTATGTACAGAAATGATATATCTTGACAAAAAATAAAATATAGAACGAAGATGAGTGTTTATTTACACACAGCTGAGCTCTGCTGCTCTATATTGTATTAGGGCTCTAATGGCCAGGTGAGTGACGGGCTCTAATGGCCAGGTGAGTGACGGGCTCTAATGGCCAGGTGAGTGACGGGCTCTAATGGCCAGGTGAGTGACGGGCTCTAATGGCCAGGTGAGTGACGGGCTCTAATGGCCAGGTGAGTGACGGGCTCTAATGGCCAGGTGAGTGACTGGCGGAAAACACTAATAAGCTTTAAGGTTAAAGGAGGAAAATACGTCTCCTTTATATTTTATTCCTTGTGTGTTCATACATACATAATGTGGAAGTGTTGAGCATAAATAACACCTATCTACACACATGTAAGATCTGCCTCACAGACGGCCACACCTACCAACATTTTTGGCACAAGACGAAACAAAGTGAAAGAGTTGTATTTACTACAAACACAACCACCGCCTCCATACAGATAATCATACAGTGGTACGATAATTACCCAACCCTAACGATACGAGCCTATTGTTTCCTCGTCCGAGCGGCGTGCTCGCACTTGGCGAAGGTTGATCTGTTATATACAGTTCTGGAGTGATGGATGTGTCACTCGAGGGGCCGTTTCTGCCTACTGCCGTCCCCAGGCCGGCTGCTGCCTGGGGACCGTCACATTAACCAAACATTACCGTTCTTGGAGTCCTTCACGGTGAAGGGGGTTTGGAAGAGGGGCAGAGACTCTCTGTGAACAATACATGGCAGTAATGCCCGGCTTTAATGACCGCCACTGCCACAGGTGACATTACGGAGGATATACTCCGCTATACTTGCCTTACCGCGCGTCGCTGTAGTATAGCATCCGGTCTGTGATCTCTCACGGCTGGGGTCTGGACGTGAAAAAACTATTATCCCGGCTTCTCAGCAGAAAACGTTTTTGGGTCTCTCGGTATGCATGGTTTAAGTCCCATAACATTCCAGTCCCCTCAGCCGAGAGGAGCCAGCCGGCGCGGCCTCTCACGTCTTGCACCTTGCTCGGCCACACTCCAGCTCTGGGTCCAGGCACAAACAGCTGGTGTGGTGTCGAATACTGACGTCAAGTAAGGTACAGCTGCAGCCTCAGTTTAAACTCACCAAGAGGTCACACTAACACTAAATACACAGAGCAGGTACTTCAGTTCCCTACCCGAGTGTGGCATTAATGCCACTCACATACAACTATACACACTATAATTACACGGAACTATAATGATGCCACAGAATACATATATATACATACACTCTTGTGAATCTTTTTATAATACACCGATATTTATGGAAATGTAACATCTATTAAGAAAATGTTAAATTGCCAGTGAGTAAATTAGGGTGGATTAAGGGATATCAGGGGGTTGGTGAGAGGGATAAGGGAGGAGGAGGATGGGGATGAGGCAGGGTGGGAGGGAGGGGGTGAGAGGTAAGATTGGTTTGCTTCGTCTTAAAGACACGAGTCTCTCACTCTTCTGAGAACATTTTGAAGGACCCGTCTACTTCATAAAGATTTGTTCATTCTTAATGTTAATTATATATATACACACCTTGTTTATGTCAATCAATAGTTTATTATTTGTAATTTTAGGCCAATTTTGGTACATCATGTGTTATTGTCTCTACCTGAAGAACATTGCTTTTAGAACATGTGTGCACAGAACTGATAATTATATAAAATAAACGTCTTTCTTCCTTAATTTTCCAGCAGCTCGAATCGAGCTAATGAAGCCCTCACAAAATTACGTATCGTTCATCACACAATTGGAACCTTACGAACAATAGGCCTCCTGTGATCACATTGTGAGAACGTCACCTTCACGTCCAGGTAACACTGACACAGCGACCACTCATCAAGAGTGAGTGGATTGAGCGCACTAGTTTTAACAACAATAAACACAGACCCGGGCACCGCCGGATACCCACACGAATTTATTCAATAAATACATGTCAATTACTGCCGGGACACAACAGCGACATGTGGACACACATGGCAACTTCTCTCCTTCACTTGGAAGACTGAGAGAAGCTGTGACTCTCCCGACTTGTAGGCGCTTCTTCACTCTCCCGACTTGTAGGAGTTCCTTCACTCTCCCGACTTGTAGGAGTTCCTTCACTCTCCCGACTTGTAGAAGCCACTTCACTCTCCCGACTTGTAGGAGCCACTTCACTCTCCCGACTCGTTGGAGCTCCTTCACTCTCCCAACTCGTTGGAGCTCCTTCACTCTCCCAACTCTTCGCAGGAACCCCTTCACTCTCACAACTCGTAGGAGCCCTTTCACTCTCCCGACTCGTTGGAGCGCCTTCACTCTCCCGGCTCGTAGGAACCTTTATGAATGTCTTTATCATGACGTATGGGCATCGCTAGACCTCTACGCTAGAAGACTGCCTTGAAGAGATCACAACTGTAATTTGTACAACTGTTCAAAGATTAACGTGAGCTTATGTTTTCCAGGTAACAAAATGTCATTTATTTCATTACACTTCACTTATCATTTTTTTTTACTGATTTCTCCTCACTAATGTTATTCACAAATATAACAATTGTTCTCCTTGTTCTATCCATCACTCATTTCCACCAATAATTTTAATCAATTTCTCTCCATCTACTTGTGTTTCTTCGCTTCCACTGTTTGCATCTTTCCTGACCCTTATTCTCTTGTGTCTCCTGTCTTTTATTCTCTTGTGTCTCCTGTCCCTTATTCTCTTGTGTCTCTAGTCTCTTATTCTCTTGTGTCTCTAGTCTCTTATTCTCTTGTGTCTCCTGTCCCTTATTCTCTTGTGTCTCTAGTCTCTTATTCTCTTGTGTCTCCTGTCCCTTATTCTCTTGTGTCTCTAGTCTCTTATTCTCTTGTGTCTCTAGTCTCTTATTCTCTTGTGTCTCTAGTCTCTTATTCTCTTGTGTCTCTAGTCTCTTATTCTCTTGTGTCTCTAGTCTCTTATTCTCTTGTGTCTCTAGTCTCTTATTCTTATGTGTCTCCTGTCTCTTGTTCTCCTCCAAGAGGACTGGCAGCGATGCTTGTCTAAACCCACTTATTTGCACTAATCGATTCTGACATCCATTCACTCAAGCTGACGCGCACTCGACCTCTGCAGTACACTCTAGCTTCCTTGGTGAGTGATTCTGCACTGTCTTCTGAGTGTTACTGTCAACAGGCACTCGAGTACTATTGTCGGCCTTCTCTCGTCCTCTACACGCACTCTGATAGTACTCTTAACTGTGTTCTTAACCGTCATGTTTTCATTCTCACACTGCAAATGCACTTTAGTGTCATTTAATCTGACCGTGTGCACTGCAGACACTTATCTGCACTCTGAGAGTCTTCAGGGCACTCTGAGGTATCCGTAGCTCTTCTTGGCGCCATCTTATACCGTGGTCTCTGGTAACACTAGTTCCAATATGCTCTTTCTCCATGTATGATTTCTCGAGAGAAATACATTTTATCCCGTATCCCCTGGGCACTAGCCTTTGTGCATGCTGTTTCTCGTGCTTAATCCCTGCCTCCTCCACACACTGATCCTCCACCCATTAATTTTAGTTCTACACTATTTCCTCTATTTCTTAAGAATTTTCTTACATACAGACACGCTCTTACCCCACATCCCAAACTTCATCTACACTCGCAAATCCATTACACTCTCACCCAAGTGCTAATCTCCAACCGCATCCTCGCCCATACTCTCACTCACACTACCTCTCACTCTCCCCAACACACACGCTGTTTCTCAGTCTGGGGTATAGATGAAACAAACACAAACATGCCTCCCCCACAAACATGCCTCCCTCACAAACATGCCTCCCCCACAAACATGCCTCCCTCACAAACATGCCTCCCCACAAACATGCCTCCCCCACAAACATGCCTCCCTCACAAACATGCCTCCCCCACAAACATGCCTCCCTCACAAACATGCCTCCCCCACAAACATGCCTCCCCCACAAACATGCCTCCCTCACAAACATGCCTCCCCCACAAACATGCCTCCCCCACAAACATGCCTCCCCCACAAACATGCTTCCCTCACAAACATTCCTCCCTCATTAACATACCTCCCCTCCCCCCCACACAAACATCAAACATGTTTTTGACTCGTAGGAAGTCAAGATGAACACACCACTTATCCACTACTTATTATCAATCCTTCTTATTTAATTGGACTTATATAATTGCTTTCTCTAGTGATGCTCTCGTCAAAATGTCTCGTAGTCATGAGTGTGTCACTCGTATGTCACTCGTGTGGCACAAGTGTGTCACTCGTGTGGCACAAGTGTGTCACTCGTGTGGCACAAGTGTGTCACTCGTGTGTCACTCGTGTGTCACTCTTGTGGCACAAGTGTCACTAGTGTGTCACTCGTGTGGCACAAGTGTGTCACTCGTGTGTCACTCGTGTGTCACTCGTGTGGCACTCGTGTGGCACTCGTGTGTCACTTGTATGTCACTCGTGTGTCACTAGTGTGGCACAAGTGTGTCACTCTTGTGGCACAAGTGTGTCACTAGTGTGTCACTAGTGTGGCACAAGTGTGTCACTAGTGTGTCACTCATGTGCTCATTTATGTCATGATTGTGGGGTTTCGTCTCTTTCCTGTTTTCTCCTCTACTTGTTCAGCCTTCCTGAATTTTTCCCGTTTTCGATTTGTTCCGTTTTCTAATTTTCTTTTTAACGTTTTCTAATTTTCTTTTTAACGTTTTCTAATTTTCTTTTTAACGTTTTCTAATTTTCTTTTTTCCGTTTTCGTGTATTAGGTACGTCATCATCTGGCCTGATCATCAACACCTAACCAATGCTCACTACCCTCTACCTTCTCTTGCTTATTCTTGCGCCGAGGCGTCACGGCATCTCCGTAGTTTCAGCATCTCCAGAGTGGTGGCGTTGCGGGTTAGTCATCTGCCTGGTCCCGGGTCTCACCACACGCGACATTTTCTTTCGGGGTTCATCTTGCTGCCGACGGGGCAGTTGAAGGCTTCGCTGAACTCCTCGGAGTTAGAGAGCGTTCCAATAACCCTGCAGAGGCCAGACAATCATTAATAACATCCTAAAAATTATATCGATATATTCTGTTATGATTCATATTATTATTTCTATTGTATACACCAGATTCTTGTTAATGTTGTTGCAGTTCATCTTACAGTTAAGGCCAAAGCTATACCGTATTACAAACACAAATGTTATGTAATATATATATATATATATATATATATATATATATATATATATATATATATATATATAGATTACTTGCCAGGTTTCTTAACATCAGATAAGGACTTTGCATTTAAACACATAAATAAACAAATTAATAATGTATATGACACTAAACTGATGTTATTAAACCTTGAATTGAATCGAAATACTTCATTAATATGTGTTTTGTATATTTATTAATGGATTAGTTTACACAAATTTACAGTAAATTATTTACCTAAGAAAAATTCATGATAATAACATAACATGAAATATATGTAGTTATAGACTACTCAAGAATTAGATTTAGACACTACAATTATCAATTATTTTAAAATTATTACAGTCGTCAAACTCAGATTCAGAAACTATTTCCGTTGCAACTTATACAGTCGTTATATATATATATATATATATATATATATAAAGTGTAGAAGGAACAAAGCCACACCATCTGAGGCAGTGGGATAGGTCACACCCACACCATCTGAGGCAGTGGGATAGACCACACCCACACCATCTGAGGCAGTGGGATAGACCACACCCACACCCTCTGAGGCAGTGGGATAGGCCACACCCACACCATCTGAGGTAGTGGGATAGGCCACACCCACACCATCTGAGGCAGTGGGATAGACCACACCCACACCATCTGAGGCAGTGGGATAGACCACACCCACACCATCTGAGGTAGTGGGATAGACCACACCCACACCATCTGAGGCAGTGGGATAGGCCACACCCACACCATCTGAGGCAGTGGGATAGGCCACACCCACACCATCCCAGGCAGTGGGATAGACCACACCCACACCATCCCAGGCAGTGGGATAGACCACACCCACACCATCCCAGGCAGTGGGATAGACCACACCCACACCATCCCAGGCAGTGGGATAGACCACACCCACACCATCCCAGGCAGTGGGATAGACCACACCCACACCATCCCAGGCAGTGGGATAGACCACACCCACACCATCCCAGGCAGTGGGATAGACCACACCCACACCATCCCAGGCAGTGGGATAGACCACACCCACACCATCCCAGGCAGTGGGATAGACCACACCCACACCATCCCAGGCAGTGGGATAGACCACACCCACACCATCTCAGGCAGTGGGATAGACCACACCCACACCATCCCAGGCAGTGGGATAGACCACACCCACACCATCTCAGGCAGTGGGATAGACCACACCCACACCATCTCAGGCAGTGGGATAGACCACACCCACACCATCTCAGGCAGTGGGATAGACCACACCCACACCATCCCAGGCAGTGGGATAGACCACACCCACACCATCTCAGGCAGTGGGATAGACCACACCCACACCATCTCAGGCAGTGGGATAGACCACACCCACACCATCCCAGGCAGTGGGATAGACCACACCCACACCATCTGAGGCAGTGGGATAGACCACACCCACACCATCCCAGGCAGTGGGATAGACCACACCCACACCATCTCAGGCAGTGGGATAGACCACACCCACACCATCTCAGGCAGTGGGATAGACCACACCCACACCATCCCAGGCAGTGGGATAGACCATACCCATACTGGTTGAGGGGTTCAGCCCTCATCCTCCCCGGCCAATTTAAAGCCCCGCTCTGATATCCAGCATGACCGTCTACCCAAAACACTTTACATAGTCTTTGACGCTTGAGCGTGAAGCCCTCTTGACTTTGAATAACCCAGGGATGAGCTCACTAGTCTGAGTGCACTTGAACTACATACCAAGGAGGTGAACACTCGCCTTGGTACTCCCTCCCGAGTGAAAGCTGTGACCCCTCGACCTCATCTTCGTGTAGGTCACGAGTACTTTAATATTCTCCGGAAGTGCATAAAATAGCCTGGTACGGTCTCTAAACAAAGTTCAACGCCAGCAATCACTATCACAATACGTCAGATTCAGATTCAGATTCAGATGTTTATTCAGGTAAGGTATATACATACAAGTGATGTTACATTAATGGATTGATATATAGATAGAGCTAGTACATACAATGCCTAAAGCCACTATTACGCAATGCGTTTCGGGCAAGAAAAACATTAATATCTAGAACTTAATACTAATTGAGCATAAAGAATAAAAAGTGTTGAGAACAAATACAAATAAAGATAAAAAAAAAGGGGGGAACATGACTGAAAAAGCAGCACAAATACAATAGGTTGACAAACAGTGTTGATTAAAAAAAAAGAAAATAACGGACATGGGTTGACAATAGAGGAGTGAGGTAGGTTACAGGGAATTTATTAGGTAGTGTTTAGTTTTTATCTTAAACTGGTTGAGAGAGGTACTGTCTTTAACATGGTTGGGAAGGTCATTCCACATTCTGGGCCCCTTGATTTGTAGAGCATTTCTGGTTTGATTAAGTCGTACTCTAGGAATATCAAAACTGTATTTATTTCTGGTGTGGTGCTCATGGGTTCTGTTACAACCTTCTATGAAGCTTTTGAGATCAGGATTGGCATTACAGTTTAGCGTTTTGTATATGTATAATACACATGAGAGAATGTGCAGTGACTTAATGTCTAACATATTCAGGGATTTGAACGTCTGGCGATTCTACTGTTAGAAGCACTAACCAACACACCATCAAAGCCACAGGCGCCTCACCTGAACCTATTGGGAGAGTGCTGGCCACTGCGAATTTTGGTCAGCATAGCCTCGGGGCTGTTCACCTCGCACCAGATCTGCCCGAAGTTGAGGAAGAAGAGCTGATCGTGAGTGAGGTTGACGAAGGGCATCGTCACCGTCTCCTCGTTGCTTCTCCGCCAGGTCTGATACGCCTACACCAGCCACAGGAGAAGACCTTAGAATGTACACACACACATACTCTTACTCCCTCCACACATCCCACAACCCTCCTCTATGATTATTTTATATTTTTTTTCATCTTCTATCTCTATCTGTTTATGCTCGTTCTCCCCCTTCTCGCTCTCTCTCACTCTCTCACTCTCTCTCTCTCTCTCTCTCTCTCTCTCTCTCTCTCTCTCTCTCTCACTCTCTCTCACACTCTCTCACACACTCTCTCTCTCTCTCTCTCTCTCTCTCTCTCTCTCTCTCTCTCTCTCTCTCTCTCTCTCTCCTTTAGTACCTGGTATGAGATCTTAATGCCAGCGTTGTCTGCGATGTTCTCGCCCAGAGTGTTGACGGGGTTGATCTTGAGCCCCACGTCGTCCACCTTGTACTCCCCATACTGGTCTGTGGACATCAATACCAGTCAGTGAGGTCTGTGGACATCAATATCAGTGAGGTCTGTGGACATCAACATCAGTCAGTGAGGTCTGTGAACGTCAACGTCAATCAGTGGAACAGATGCGGGGCAGAAGCAGGAGAATAGGACAAGGACAAGCAAGAGGAGCATGAGGCAAAGCCAGGCAAGAGGTCGTAAGTAGCATTCACGCACCTTCATCTTAAATTACAACTTGCCTCGCCTCTCAATCTGACCTAGAAGATGACAGCGGGTGTTGGGCCGCAGCAAGAACGTCTTGAGGATGCTGAGCTACTGAGAACTCGTCTCAGTGTTCCCGCCTCTCTAACTACCCAGAATGTTAAGAAGACGTTTCTGTTTCCAGCAGTGCGAGGCGGAGTCTGGCCCAAGAGCGACCTGAGCTCCTCAGAGGGGTTCAGACTGTCAGGTTTCTAAACTGTGTTCCCGTCAGGTTTATAAACTGTGTTCCCGTCAGGTTTCTAAACTGTTTCCGTCAGGTTTGTAATTCTGTGTTTCCCACGACCCCAGCCTTGAAGGCTGAAGCACTCTTGTACATCCTCATCTTCATCTTCAATGTTAATGTTCATTTATAATTTGTCCAATCTGAAAGTAACCCAGTGAAGTGATATCGGGGCTTCTTGAGGTTATCTTGAGATGATTCCGGGGCTTCTTGAGGTTATCTTGAGATGATTCCGGGGCTTTTAGTGTCCCCGCGGCCCGGTCCTCGACCAGGCCTCAACCCCCAGGAAGCAGCCCGTGACAGCTGACTAACACCCAGGTACCTATTTTACTGCTAGGTAACAGGGGCATAGGGTGAAAGAAACTCTGCCCATTGTTTCTCGCCGGCGCCTGGGATCGAACCCAGGACCACAGGATCACAAGTCCCGCGTGCTGTCCGCTCGGCCGACCGGCTCCCCTGAGGGAGGGCTCCCCTGAGATTAGGGCTGAGGAGATAGTGGTAAAGTCTATGCGTTAATATGATAGGATAAGCTTTATGTTTAATGAAAAGCTGCATTAGAAAGAGAGATGCATAATGGGATCACACACACACACACACACACTGCAGATGAGTACCCAAATGAGCCACATAGGCCTTAGAAAGAACTTTTTTTTAGTGCCAGAGTAGTTAATAAATGGAATGCACTAGGGAGTGATGTGGTGGAAGCTGACTCCATATACACAGCTTCAAATGTAGATATGATACAGCGCAATAAACTCAGTAACCTGTACACCGGTAGATTGACAGTTGAGAGGCGGGACCAAGAAGCCAAAGCTTAAAATTGCCTAATTAGGCAAGCACAACTAGGTGAGTACACACACACACACACACACACACACACACACACACACACACACACACACACACACACACACACACACACACCCAGATGGCGTTTCACCATGGGTTCTGAGAGAATGTGCATCTGAGCTCAGCATTCCACTTCACCTGATCTTTCAGGCATCCCTGTGTACAGGAATCGTAGCAGACGGGTGGAAACAGGCTAACATAGTTCCAATCTACAAAAGTGGCAGCAGGGAAGACCCCCTCAATTATAGACCTGTATCATTGACAAGTGTAATAGTGAAAGTATTGGAAAAACTAATCAAACTAAATGGGTAGAACACCTAGAGAGAAATGATATAATATCAGACAGACAGTATGGTTTTCGATCTGGAAGATCCTGTGTATCGAATTTACTCAGTTTCTATGATCGAGCCACAGAGATATTACAGGAAAGAGATGGTTGGGTTGACTGCATCTATCTGGACCTAAAAAAGGCTTTCGACAGAGTTCCACATAAGAGGTTGTTCTGGAAACTGGAAAATATTGGAGGGGTGACAGGTAAGCTTCTATCATGGATGAAAAATTTTCTGACTGATAGAAAAATGAGGGCAGTAATCAGAGGCAATGTATCAGAATGGAGAAATGTCACAAGTGGAGTACCACAGGGTTCAGTTCTTGCACCAGTGATGTTTATTGTGTACATAAATGATCTACCAGTTGGTATACAGAATTATATGAACATGTTTGCTGATGATGCTAAGATAATAGGAAGGATAAGAAATTTAGATGACTGTCATGCCCTTCAAAAAGACCTGGACAAAATAAGTATATGGAGCACCACTTGGCAAATGGAATTTAATGTTAATAAATGTCATGTTATGGAATGTGGAATAGGAGAACATAGACCCCACACAACCTATATATTATGTGAGAAATCTTTAAAGAATTCTGATAAAGAAAGAGATCTAGGAGTGGTTCTAGATAGAAAACTATCACCTGAGGACCACATAAAGAATATTGTGCAAGGAGCCTATGCTATGCTTTCTAACTTCAGAATTGCATTTAAATACATGGATAGCGATATACTAAAGAAATTGTTCATGACTTTTGTTAGGCCAAAGCTAGAATATGCAGCTGTTGTGTGGTGCCCATATCTTAAGAAGCACATCAACAAACTGGAAAAGGTGCAAAGACATGCTACTAAGTGGCTCCCAGAACTGAAGGGCAAGAGCTACGAGGAGAGGTTAGAAGCATTAAATATGCCAAAACTAGAAGACAGAAGAAAAAGAGGTGATATGATCACTACATACAAAATAGTATCAGGAATTGACAAAATCGACAGGGAAGACTTCCTGAGACCTGGAACTTGAAGAACAAGAGGTCATAGATTTAAACTAGCTAAACACAGATGCCGAAGAAATATAAGAAAATTCACCTTCGCAATAGAGTGGTAGACGGTTGGAACAAGTTAAGTGAGAAGGTGGTGGAGGCCAAGACCGTCAGTAGTTTCAAAGCGTTATATGACAAAGAGTGCTGGGAAGACGGGACACCACGAGCGTAGCTCTCATCCTGTAACTACACTTAGGTAATTACACTTAGGTAATTACA